TATATACCGTAAAATACCGGGCAAGAGCCCACTCAAAATTTAGAGATAATCGCAAAAAAATGGGAAATGGGTGCTTGTCCAGTCATCAATTTTACGTATAAATGTACTTTACATATTTTCTCAGATCTTAGAAATTTGGATATGAGCGCTTAATGTGGAATGGGTGGATGCATGGTATTCTACGGTATATAAACGATCGTGAAAAGCCTGATAACTTCTTTCCACCGCAGTCCTGTAAAACGCTTATTGAGGGCCTCTGCTACCATAAATTGCAACAAGCCAAACACTATTCTGTGTTTAAAGGGCAACTCCACTCCATTTTTACAATTTTTGGGTTATGGTCTGTTTAGTCGAAGCCGGCGACCCTGAATGACGAGATATAATTTGTTTTTCGGTAGTGTGTATAGTTTTGTAGATATCGCGAATGCAAGAATCGGTCCGGCGGCACGGCGAAACCGAAACTACCGGTTGAAGCAGCTTGGCAACACTGATACTAGTGGCGCGTCGTCGGCATGACCTAGTTCTAGTCCCGCGCTTCTGAGCCGACGCGCCGACAAGGTCGGCTGAGGCGCACGTGGAGTTTCAAAACAGAAGGTTAGATGCACATTTTCTTTTTTTACCGCTTCACTTTGTTAATATGCACCAAATTTAGTCATTTTTAGTGTGTACAGTAAAACCTCGTTATAACAAAGTTGAAGGAGCGGTCGTAATTATTTCGTTATAACCATTAGTTTGTTATAGCCAATGTCCATTTCTTCCCACTATTAGCAAGCAAGGGGAATTATGATTGCTTTGTTATATCCATTAGTTTGTTATATCCCGTTTTGTTATAACGAGGTTTTACTGTATTTATAAATTTGCCGGCCGAAAAGCGAATCCGACTGCTATAAATATGACGCGGTCGGTGCCGGCGCGGCGTGACTGTATTTGTTTCTTGCGCGCGGACCGAGAAAACGAAATAATGGGAGATAGATGGACAGATCTGTCCACAAGTGGTCTAAGTTGTTAAAGCCAAGGCGCCTTTATGTGCACGCCAGTTAGATCAGCCGCGACCTGCTGCGTCCGGCCGATTGTGGTGGAGCAGCCGGCGGACGGTACGCGAACAGCAACGGCACTGCATCGTTCTTCAAAGACGCCTGTTTCTTGGTGAAACCCGCAACAGTCAGCAGCCGCAGGTCCCGTGTGTAGGTGTCTGACGTAAAGTGCTGGGAGCAGAGCTTCGCGTTGGAGCTCGGAGTCAACGGTCTTCCGAAGTCTATCCGGCGAACGGCACCGACCCACACCCTGTGCCTCTTCTGGTCTCTTGGGAACTGGTGGAACCGCAGCTCCGGGTTGCGCACCGGGTTGCTGGTGCAACCCACAGCACTACAAATCCTGCTCGACATTGCCCAATGCGAGACCGGCAAATCTCTCCGGCTCCGCGACGCGCGCGTGAGCGAGCAGCACCGTTTTGCTCTCTTCCGCGCTGTCGCGGAAGCAATGCTGGAATTAAAGGAACTGCCTGGACGCTAATAAAAATAGGAGAACACAGGATAATGTGGTAAACATCTCGTGCCGTCAGCAGAATCGCAGAATGCCACGGGAAACGAAGCGTTCGCGGCGTCCATGCGAGAGCGTAGGACTAGACCTACGTCATTGCCCAGTGTTGCTTCACTAGCTCACCCGGTGCCAGCGTTGCTCACCCGTTTTCGGGCCGCTAACCGAGCCGGGAGAACATTTTTAATATTGGTTTTAATCGGTAACGCGGCGTCGGTTTGACGTGATATTTTGGGTATGACCGTATTTTGACCTCCTAAAGCGATATCAGTGACTTCGATAGGGTCGACTTCTTGAGTGAAGTTGCCCTTTAAGAGGTTAGTGGTAATTTATTATGTTGGTGACTTGTTTGAAAGCTGTGGAGTGGCACTTTGCCAGGGCAGTACTACTGCTAACCTGCGGGTTTTAATGTGCTGCAGATCTGATTTAATGAATGGGCACTAGTACCACCAATAAAAAAACTTTCAACCTTTTCACTCTGGTGAAGAGAAAAGAACAGCGGAGCTGTACTATGTGCCGCCATCTATGAGCGACGGCGGCAACCAGACAACTGGCAAGCCGGTCATCTGCTTGCCGCCATCGTTTATAGATGGCAGTAGCTGTCCAGACGGTTGTGTCGAGATTTATGTCAGGGACACGAAATTAGGGAAATATCAGTAGCTGTAACTTGGTTGCATATATGGTGCAATCTTGACTGAGCTCAGTTGCTATCACTTCCTTGGAATTATGTTGAAAAATACATAACTTAACATTAATGCTGCAGATTGTGGTTCCTTAATCCCTACCATGAGATTATGGTGCCTTAACCTCTACCATGAGTCGAGTGCTGAATTTTGTTTTCATTGGAAACAAGGCTGTAAGTCTTCAGTCACAGCTCTCTGTGGGACTCTTCAGAAGTAATTGAAGCATGACTGAGTTACTTTCTGTGGGTATAACTGTCACTTTAGGTATAGATACGTTTGTAGGAATGGGTCCATACCCGTAACTTGATCACATTCTAGCTCAAGTAACCAAGCCCTAAAGCAATATACGATAGTGGTCGATGCTGCTCGGAACTACTCTAAAAGGAGCCTTTTTTTAACCTGACGACATCCAAGTTCTCCAGAAGACATCACATTTATCGACCCAAAACACTTTGTGCGTCCTGAACGAGCCATAGGTTCCTCTACCGGAAGCAATTGCAGTGCCCCTGGAAGAAATTGAAAAAACACTTCAAAACCAGTGAAGCAAAAATCACCCTCATTAACTTGAGCAAATACTGTCAAAGCGGTCGTTCTGGTGTGAAGTTCACTCCTATAAGGACGCCTGTGGCGATACCCTGTTTGCCGAGTTGACCGGATTTGCCATGTCGTTGCTGGTGCCGTCCAACTCAAATGCCGAAGTGGAGAGGACGTTTAGCCAGCTTAACATAGTAAAATCTAAACTCGGGAATAAACTGAAGCTTGAAACAAGAGTCGCCACTCTTCTCGTAAGAGCAGAGCTGAAACGACATAAGGAAATTTGTTTTGATTATGAGCTTCCTATGGTGATTGTAAGTGCAATCGGAACATCTGAAATGTGTGTGCAACCAAGTCACCTTTGCGGTCCTTCAACAAGTACCAACGGTCCTGTGGAGATGGTGTCAGGCGACGACAGCTTTGACGAAGACATCATCCATGTGTTGTTTTCTTTGTTGTTTTTTTTTCGTCAGTGTGATCATTCATAAGTTTTAGCCAAACCTGTGATGAGGTTGTCATCTGTGATGACAGCCACAGTGCTGAAGCCTCTGGTATTCTAGTTGTCATCTTTCGAAGGTTTTTTTATATGTTATTCCAGCTCACACAGTTTTAAGAAGCTTTTGAAAATAATGAAGATTTACATCTAGATGCCTGCATATCCACCAATTACCCCCGGATTATAAGCAGATATCTGCAATGAACTGGCATATGCAGATAAAAATTAATCCGATTTGGCGGATTGCGGATCGGATGCGCGTGCTAGGGGCTGCGGATGCAAATCAGGTGCAAATATCCGCGGGTCTGGATTTACATCCTTGTTGAGGTGATCTACAAACATGTGCAATCTCAGAGCGTAGAGTGAATAGGTAAGTGATAATATGAAGTTTGTCATTGAATGTTTCCCAGGAGAAAATTACTGTCTCAGAGAAAAGGATCTGAGCAGGGAGAAAATGGTTCTTTACGCCAAGAAAGACCTGAATCCTACCAAAGACTGCTCGAAACCATTCGATCTCGCATAAAATGTTGTCCCTATACAAAGTAAAGCATGCAGAAGCATCAGTTGTCCTGGTAAAGCGTGTTCTTTTTGTTTCCATGAAAAAAGCGGTAAATGTTATTGAGCAAAGAAAACCCAAAAACATACAAACCACAAGTTTTCAAGTGAGTAGAAGACACCTCTTTAACAAATAAAATGTGGTCTGTGTGCATTTTTTTTTTTTTTTCTCGGTGGTTGTCAAGATGTTGAAGTACGTGGTTTGGGAAATACAGTTCGGTTTTTTTTTTTTTTAATTGAAACCGATAGGAGGTACAGTAAACTCTTACTTGGGCGAATATCAAGGGACCCAAGGAAATAGTTCACTTAACTGAAAGTTCACTAAACTGAATGTATTCACTAGAATATGGAACAGCATAGGGCACAGCATACATACAGTCAAAAGTGTGAAATGCAATTTATGGAGTCATGTACATCAACACATACAAAGTGCATAACAGCTGCGTGTTACTGCCTCTCTCATTTTAAGCCCTTGCTTTTTTTTTTCTCATCAGTTTTTTTGTTTTTTTAGGGTGGGTATTCTTTTTATGCATGGCTGTGTTTTTAACTGCTGTTATTTCTTGCGTTGTAATAAGATTCTGGCACTTCTTTTCCATTTTCTTTAAGCCTGAACGATGGAGGCGTTAGCATTTTCTCCACAACATTTTAGAAATGCACAATTTAAGGCCTTTTTAGACACCATGCTGTTTTATCTGCCCCTCCCCCCCACCCACCCACCCACCCACCACAAATAGCATCTGAAAAAAAGAATTGCACTTTCTAGTATTTTTACGAGGGCAAAATACAAGCTTTGCCCCTCACTTCAGAAAGAAGGTGGGGGTAAAGCCCCTCGATATGTTTGCGTTTGTTGTGCAAGTAGCGTCAAATGCGCGAGTGTACGAGACCCGCATCTCGAGCGGCCCTTGGAAGCAAATGGCGGCGCAGCACTGAAATGAGCGGTCCTAGGAAGCGAATGGCGGCGGAGCAGCCGCTCGTGGCACGTGTCTTGCGCGGTTCCACAACAATGGTTGGCGGTACTTGTAAAAAACACCCTTATCAAGGGGCTTTAGGTGGGGGGGGGTGGGGGGCGAGGGGTTCCCCGTCCCTCTCCCGGTTTGTACGCCCATGTTTGTGAGTAGCTTTGACAGCTGTGGAGCATACCTTAATCCCAGCTAGAGAGTCTGACTTTTTTTCTATTTTTTTTTTTACTTTCCTAGGCTCTTGGCACGTGGCTGGAGAATGCCCTCAAGCTCCTGCCCACGCAGAGCAGCGGCGGAGCGGTCACGGCTACTCCCGCTCAGCTCTCAGAATTCTTGGCGACGGTCACTGGGTAAGCGCGGTACCGCAGTGCCCCTTTGCTTGGTCAAAATAGTTACAATATTGGTGTGTGTGTGTTTGGTGGGTGTGCACTTTCAGAAAGCGTGCCAGTTTAGCGAGCGGGCGAGTTTGCTGTGCATGCGAGTTTGGTGCGCATGAAAGTTTGGGGAGCTTGCAAGTTTGGGAAATGTGAATTTGTGGAGTGTGGAAGTTATGGGTGTGTGAGAGTTTGGGGAGCATACAAGTTTGGGGAATGTGTTAGTTTGATGCATGTGGAAATTTGGGTAGTGTGAGGTTGTTGAGTGTGCAAGTTCTGTTTTGGGAAAGGATCCTGCGGCGATGGAGCATTAGGTCTGCTGCAGTTTGTGACCCTCGCAAGGACTGTTTGTGATACAGTCACTTGATAGGTTTCAGAGAATTGAAACTGAGTTCTGTCAGAGAATGCACGGACACGTGCCAGTGCTGCATTGCCATCTGAGGTGCGCATACTGCCAAAATTTTCCTTTGACCTCTCCAGTCTGAGCGAGCCAATTCAAAACTGCAGTGAAAGGTTGTTTTATGAAGCATGAATTAAAGAAACAGAAAATGATCAAACGCTGCACACTTCTCTTTTTCGTTGGGGTTTGGTGGACTTGTTTGTAACCCCTACAGTTTGCAGGTACAAGAAAGCCTGGGACTTAAAGAAATAAAACAAAATGAATTTGGTGATCTGTGGAGTTTGTGAAAAGGCAGAAAGAATTTATGCCTCACTGAGTGTTCCAGGCTTGCAGTCTGATGGTCATTGGGAGCGAGGGGGTTAGAATGCACCAGAATGATCATTTACAGTTTTCTAAGATACTTTCATTCCAAAACTGACAGTGCAGTGGAAGCTACACGCTTGCTGGACCAGTCATACATTTATCGTTTGCCACGTGATCGTGCTCCCGCCCATGCCCATGCGCAGGGAGCAGGATAGAGTGATGAAAGGGGGGCGGTGTATTGGTACTTGGAGGCGTAGCACCTACTGCTCTGTCAGCTTAGGCGCGAACGAAGTAAAGCTGGCAAGCATTTCTAATGCGATTCTTTGGCATTTGGCTACAATATTAGGGGTATGTAGTCTCGAAATTTTTCGAAATGCCGAAGAGAGCCTTTTGTTGCAGTTTCTGAGCACCTCCTATGGATGTTTCTTCTCTTTTCTTTTTCAGTGCTCAGCATGGCAAGAGCGTCTCGACGTCTCTACGAGAGTTCTCGCGTCTCTATCGATGAGTTTGAGAACATCGTCCCCCTTCCCCTTCTTTTTTAAAGAAAGTTGTCTCTTTTTTTTTTTTTTCTTCACTGGTTACGGTTTAAATTTGCATCAAAGGATCATCTGCAATGGCCGACGGCGACATCCCGCCACGGAAGCGCCAAGACCATCTTCTTTATTTCTGTGTGAATATTTTTCGTGCGTGTCTTCGGAATGTGCTCCTAACGTCCCGGTAGGAAGACTTTGCACCTCCTGCAAGGTAACGGACGAACCGAGGACGAAGAGACGCCGGAGTTTTCTTTTCAGTTGCGTGGATCTCGATCATGGGTGTGTTTTTAAACCTTGCTTAGCATTGCGGTCGATCGACATTTCCCCACAGGGTGTTTCCGAGCACTATTTGGGCGTAAACATTCTTTTTTTTTTTTACAAATAAACCAACCAACAGAGTGCATTAAAACTTTTCACAACGGTGTCTTTAGGGTAATAGATTTGTGGTACTCAATTTTCACGAGTGTAGGTTTCAGGAAAACAATTTCGGCCTCAAAAACCTAGTTTATTGTTTCCTACGCTCAAGGTCGAAAACGGCAAAAACCATCCGCTTCACGCCGCTACTTGCCGACGGTACCACACACGCTGAGATCTTCTGGACCCGCTTTTGGGTGTTCATCTCGTCTTTTCCAAACCTGCACTCATAAAACTGTAATATGATAAATGCTCCACCTAAAGACATCTTCGTGAGAAGTTTAATTACACTCAGTTCATCGGTTTATTAATTCAAATCTTTTTACGGGCAAGTTGTGCTCAGAAGCACCCTGAAGATGAGGAAGTCGTGGAGTCATTCTTCTTGCGTCGCCTGACGGAGGCCGTCGCAGGACGAAGATCGGAAACGTGTGCTGCTTCGGCGCTCGGCTGCGACTTGTGCTTAGTCTGCAAGAACACTCGTCCCCACTTGAACGCCGACGCGGCACTTGTCTCCAATTTGTGCCCCGCGCTGGCCTCCATAGACGATGCAGGAAGGAAGCCACCACAGCCTATCATTTAACAGGGGTTTCAATCGGCTTCACCGACGAATGGCGTTGGGCAAGCGGGGAAGGGGACTGTTTCACGTTGCAGTGAGGCCATGTCACAAACCCTGGAAGTGACTGGTCAGGCTTTGAACTTAAAGACTTAAAGAGGCCCTCCTACCAAAGAAAATGTTTGACCAGTTGAACTTTGGGATAAGGCTCAAACCCTGCAGAGCGATTTCCAGCCATAATCGGAGGATAGGTCGTTCTGAAACGGTTAGCATCTTGTGTGCACGGATGTCGGGCAGGAATTCAAGCATTGACTATCTCCACAGGCTGTTGGCTGGGAACATTGTTTCAGGGGTGTTGGAATGTAATGTCTTTGTGCTACACTCATCTTCGAAGGTGAACGGCAAATCTAATTTGTTGCTCTACTGTTTTCGCTTCGGTCCTCTCCTTGTAGAACGTTGGCTATGAATTCTTGGGCGAAGAGTGAAATAGCCCTGGCATACCATTGCCATAGGTGCTCTTTGATGGAGGGGGGTTAGCATTTATGAATTTCACAACTAGCAATTCCTCACTAATAATGACGAAGGGAAAAAAAAAAAAGTGTAGGGAGGGTGCCATGGTGGCCAACACATTTTTCTTCATCTCCTGTTAGTTGCCTAGTTTAGATGCTCGCATTTTCCAGAGGTGGCCAGGGTTGGCTCGTTGCTTGCAGTGATGAATTGGAGGGCTGTCTGCTTGACCGGCACGACCAGTCTTCTCCTTAGGAGTCGAGGCATAACATTATTGGGTTCATTGTACTGACTTTGTTTAACGGCCTTCGTAGCTACCTGCCTGAAACTATGAGGTCAAAGGTCAGAGGGAATGCTGTCATGCACAAAATTGCCATCTTGGGGACCATGAGGTGATGGTGCATGCTTCCACTGCAGTGTTGCGAACTGCCGACATTGAACTGTCGTATCATTGATAGTCCACTTTTAAACCACAAGCGAGTGCTCCGAGAGTCGGCAACATTGGTGGCGCCATCTGTGGAGCAGGAAGCAAGTCTGTCTGCCTCGTTCTTGCAGACGGTCCTCCAGCCACATCCTGTTGTACGACCGGTGCGTGTCGGCGTGTTGAACTGACGAAACGAGGAAAGGTGAAGGTGTTGAAGAAGTGCTAAACATGCGACTGTGATTGACCAGCAAATAAGGAAATAGGATGGGCCTTTCTTGCCATTTTTTTATACTGGTTAGGCACTAGGCAGGCAGCAGGAAGGATCGGTAGGGGTTAGATTTCTGGATGAACTGAATCCTGGTGTTTTTGTTTCTTTTGAGTGGACAAAAGCAGGTGAAACAATTATTGTTGAACACGACGAACGACACAGTCACCATATAAGTCCCAGAAATCTTTTCTCTAAGCATTAGTGCAGGCAAACAACCATAGGACATGAGTCGGAGATTCGCACCCCAAATGTTTGTCGTGTTTTTTTATTTTGTGTCGGGACTACTGGTTAGTTGTTGGCAGTTACCAGTTAATTGCTCTGTATTCTAACACTGATGGCTGTTTATCTTTTTGTAATTGTGAGAAAGTATTTGCCCACCCTGGAGCGTATTTTTCTATAATGCTAGGGTCTCTGCTGTGCCGGCCTGCTTGATTGGATTGCTCGGCAAGGTATTGTCATATTAGTTGATCTGTAGAGGGGTGGGATATTCTGTATGCTTGGTGTTGTCATTAAGGGTCGAGGGAACACTCCAGTTTGATCGTAGTGTTAAATTAATATCTTTTTTTATACTATATAGAACATAATAGATCCTGCAGTCAGATGCTCTGCGAGTTTAAATCCCCTTGCAACATTTAAGCAAAGGTGCAGGCTCTTTTCTATTGTTAAAAGGTACGAATGTTGATACTGTAAAATATTCTGGGACATGTTTATGTATCATATTCTGGCAGAAATCCTTGTCTGTACCGTGAAACATTTTTTTTTTTTTTTTAGATATTTTTTGTGAAGTTTTTGGTTTTCATGAAGAAAAAAAAGGTGTACATAACAACTGTTGCTTCTTCATTTATGTGTGACTTGTTAGCAAAGTAGATTAAAAAAAAAAATCGGGGTAGTTGTGGGTGTAGGCTCATAGGCCAGTCTCAGGGGCGGATCCAGACCTCCATTTTAGGGGGGCGGTTCCTCCGTGTAAAACGGCGGGGGGGGGGGGGGGGGGGGGGGGGGGGGGGGGGGAGTGTTTATATTTTTTGTGGAGTTATCGTTTTTACTAAACTCTGATAACATAATATAGATCTTGATAGCTTTTGTATCGGTTTACCTGTTGGGGATGAACTCTTTTAATTAAAACCTTTCGGGTGACCACGCTAGAGGTAAGTATCTAGAAAATTATGGTGGCACTATCCTTTCTGAACACCATAACGCAAAGAATTTTGTAGTTCATAGGAAACGGGATTGCTCCATTCGCGTGGCAGCGCACTGGAAATAGAAAAATAAGTTTAACTACTGGGGATGAATGTTTGGTGCTATAGCGGCTGTGACAATTGCAGACAGTGTAACTTGATGGCTCAGATATCCCCGGCGGGGCTACAACTTTTGGGCTCCTTTTGCTTGAATATTTATATATTCTCGTTACACCCACAGAGTATGTACGGAAAACCAAACTTTGCCAACTATACGGAGGAAGCTCATGCAGCTAATGACAGTGCGAAAACCGTTTTAATCTAAAACTCGGCTGTTCTTTGAGATTAGGCTTGCCATAGTAGTTAGAACTTTATATTCAGTGCTAAAATGCAGAGTGTGGTTTTAAAACATACTTTTCATTGCCGCCGGTTGCTTCAATGGAGCGAGTACGTTGCAAACAAGCGACAAAAATGACCCGGCGGCTTCGACGCTGCTCGCGGCGTCAAACACTGTTGACGCAGCGAGCGAAACGAACGCTGCCAGGCAAGTTCGTCGGTTATTGTTCGCCGTATATTTGGAATGTCCAGAGCGCAGCACATACGGCATTGCCAACCCAAACTCGTGTTTTCACGTGTTCTGGATATACTCGAGAGAACGAAAGCGAATAATTGTTGAATATTTTTGAAAGCATGTTGCAGGTCGGCAACTATAACTTTTAAACTTAGACAAAACCTTAAACCAGCAATGGATCCTTCCAAATTATATTCAATTGCACTTCGTCTGGATATTTTCTGTATGAAAGGAACACTTACTTGTTTCTGGGTAGTTAGCTCATTCGTCAGGGTCGAGAGGACAGGTGCAGAGATATGATGGGGCAGAGTGGTTGTCCGGTCAGCGAATCAACTGGGCTAAAGGCCGATCACGACTGCAGCGTGGATGTTTGGGAGTCGGTGTTCACTCGAACGGGCACAGGCACTGTCTATATAATTTGCTCGTTTTCCTCAAGTCCCTAGGTAGGGAATCCGAAGCCGCAGTTGCAAACCAGCAAGCCCTGCCCTCTGTTCCGTTCTACACACATATTCACTCCTGCAAAGCCGCGCGAAAGCTCTGCCGTCAATCCACAGAAGCCACGTTTAACTCGAAAAGTAAAGACGGCGCCAAGGAGAGACGAGGGGTAGCGGGTGCCTTTCCTAAAATATGTCCCGCCACCCCAAGTTGAAACGGCATTGTATACAAATAAATGCCTACGGCGTCAGCTTGAGGATCCCGTGTAAGCAGCCTCCAGCCTTTAGAGTGCTCGTACCATTTATCTTTCTTTTATTAGCTTCCCGCCTCGAGAAGTCGTACCACAGGCAGTATGAAGCCCATTAGAGGAAACATCCCCCCTTCTGGCGCTCGTCGGCTTCTTTCTGTATTCCGCGTTGCGGCGCTGATCCTCAGTGAGGGATGGAGGCGAGGATTAAGCAAGGTCGTGGGGAAGTCTGAAGCATCTTCAGGAGAAACTCGGACCCAGACTACACTGTACCCAGAGCATTTCCTTCCTCTCTCAGTTGCGAAGAAAAGCAATTGGTCACCTGGTTGTACAAGCTGCATCCCCCCCCCCCCCCCCCCCCCCCCTGGAACGCCTCCTCCTGGTACGTCCCCTCCGCACTTCCCTTGGCAATGAGCACACCGTGCCAGTAAGATACCTTTAGTGAGCCCGTGGGCGACAGCATCTCAAAGCAAGCCAATAAAGACATGCCAAAAGACAAGCCCAGAACCATGAAGAAACCATCAAACGAAAAGTGATGAAAAGGCAGCCGCGAAAGAGGAAAGATAATCCGCTGTGTGTAGGATCGTACCCTTTAGGAAGGCTGCTTGGCGTCTGTGTTTGGGAGCTTTCAGGGCACAATTTTTTTTTGCAGACAACCTCCAAAGAGAGAGAGAGAGAAAGGGGACTAGATATATTGAAGGTATTTTCCCCTCGTGCTCGGTGTGCTGGCCTTGTTTGGAAGTGTGCCTGCAGTCGAGAACCCTGATATTTGGTGCGCCTCCCCACTGTCTTTCCACTTCGAAACTCCTGGCGTCGTCCCTGTCGGGAAGACGTACCGTGGCCTTGACGGAGATAAACCCCACTTTGGAAGCGCCCAGCAGGCGCGCCCACCCACCGCTGTTTTAATCTTCTGTCCCTCACGTCGATTGCTTACGGTTTTTCTTCGAGCTGACGAAGAACCCCGGGGGGGGGGGGCTTGCCTGGCGAGGCGTTTGGGGGGGGGGGGGGGGGGGGGGGGGGGGCGATCGCCCCCACCGCCCCCCCCCTTGGATCCGCCACTGGCCAGTCTGTCACTCAAAAATCGTCATCGGCCCTCAACAAGTCCGTCTGATTGGGCAACGGACGGAAAAGAAAGTATGCATGTATTGCTTTCATATGGACTAGGACACCGGTCATGCGTTTTGCGACTATAATACTGTAGACTTCTTTATTATCGAGAGCTCGATTTTCGCGTATTTTGTTGCGTGGGTTCTGGGAAAATTTAGTGGACACAAAGTTTCGCGATTGGTAGTGTGTACATTATGAATTCGTAACCATGGAGCGACCTTTTCGTGTGATTAATTCTTTGCGATATTTTTGAATTCGCAAAATTTGCGGAAATTACGTTTTCGCGAGAATGAAGTTGCTTACAAGCAGAAACCGAAACTAGCAATTTAAGAGCATGCGCAATTTTGTCAAATAGATAGACTACCTCACCTGAGGATTTAAATAGATTAATATTGTTAGCTTCTTTACTTTTCTTGTTAATGACATTTTAAGTTCACTGTAAAACATCGTGAAGGGTGATTGTGCGAAGTCGAAGGTTATACGTGATTGCGGCGATCTGTGCACGGCTCACTGTTGTGTTGTGATGGCCATCTGTTTCGTCTGCTTTCTAGTGCCTTCTGCGTTTTGTTTGTGCCGAAGTGGTTGTGGATATTTCGTTTCTTTTAAATGAGGTACGTAGTGTGTTCCCAACTAATTTCGTGTTCTTTCGCTTGCCGTACAATTCAGTTCGTTCTCGCTTGATCGAGAACTCTGCTCGGTCTCGCTAGCTGCCGTGAATATTTGTTGCGCTCGGTGTCCAAGCTGATTTATTCGTATTTTGCTGCCCTGCTTATTTCGACATTCGAATGGAAGTATCACGACGGTCAAAAATGCGTTCTGAGCAGCTGTTGCAATGTTAAGAAAAAAAAAACGCGCAGCAAAGCAAATAACTGCAGTCGTGTCCACGTTTGTGAGCCGTTTATTCGGCGTTGCGGCCTACGGCATACCGCGCATTGAGGGAACCAATATTTGAATAAGGAAGAATTAATTTATGTTAGCCAGTTTAAAGATACGCTACCTTAAAGGCAGATACAAAACATTTTCCAGTGTTTCTTCGTATTAATCGGTACGATCGGTTCAGGAACGGTCCGCCCAGAGCGCGTCGCGCGGTTCGCTCGCGCTCGCTGCGCCCGTGCTGCCATCTAACGGGAAAGTCGCGCGCCACGCCATTTTGTTTGCTGTTGTCCGTCGTGTTTTTCTAGTGTTTTTTTGTTTGTGTGTGTGTGTGTGTCTGTCTGCGTCCCTTGTGCTCTGTAGGTAACGTGATTTTCCATTCTCTTGACCGTTAATTTGACCCGGATCCAACCCGCGATCCATTCGCGAAGCGCCGAGGTTCGGCGGTGGCACGCACGCTACCTACCACCGCCGGGTCTACGGAAAGCGGTATGGCCTGGGAGAGGTACGACGACGGGGGAAAAAAAAAATAATAATAAAAACAACAGAAACAAAATTGGCTAAGAAAAATTAAGACCTTACTTATTTTTACATGCAGCGACTGTCCGGCGTTTCGGTCACTATTGGTGGACACTTGAAGCGAGAAACCTAACCCTTGAGAGTCGCCTTCCAACTCCACACATATCTCGCGAAAGAAACAAAACAGAAAAAAAAACATCGCCAGCGATGCTGCGATGTGCAACCGGTGCCTTTAGGTGGGTGACCTCCGCCGGCACGGTGGTCGCATAAACTACTCAATTGCCGAGATCTCGGCGACAAACCTCCCCGAAAAATAAAGCAGCGACTCGCTCCTGTTGGTCGGACAAGAAACGGGGTGTTAGAAAGAAATAAAAGCGTAGTAGTGCCAGAAAAAAAAAAAAAAATCACAAAATAAAGTTTCTAGCGATGCAGTAAGCTCGCACATATTTTAGGCTAATGGTAATACTTGTGGCTTCGCACGGTGTGTTATGAAGGTACAACTCGCCGCTGTAAGTTTCGTGGACGGGTTGTCGAGCGATGCGTTCGACGATGTCTTGTCGATCGCGTTCCCCTGACACACGTCCGAACGCCTCAACTTTCACCGGATCCTGAAGGTCGGTTGTCTCCCCCGACCAGCATGATCGCTTGGACCGTCTCGGTCGCTCGTGCACGCTCGCGAAACTCATTTCGTCGGGCAGTGGCATACGGTTTTGAGCGTATTTGTAACGCCCAATCGACAACTTCGCGCCGCGGACGTCGTAGACGTATACGCGCGATTGGGTTTCAAGTGAACGAGCGCCCAAACCGTTCCGAACGTTTCCGAAGAGACCACGCGCCCGTAGATTTTCCCTATGGATCACAACGAACACACGAAAGTCGCACCTGTTACCAACTGTTTT